AATGCTTCTTTCTCAAAAGTCTCAAATTTGAGTTTCTCACTAGATTGGAAACTTAACTTTACTTTATACTCTAAAGTAATCACTGTACTCCAGAGAAAGGGGTTCCCTGAATGGTCAGGTTTAGGCTGCATCCATGGAGGAGAGGAAGAATTTCTACCCCTTTTAAATTACACTGACTGAGCACCAGCTGGGGATGATTAGTGATTAGACCATCAGATCCTAACTGCTACTGCCAAAAAAAAAGGAGTGTATGCAGAAAGCCAGTCAGGAGTATGCAGGAAAGGGAACCCACACTCAGAAGTGTCTTCTGCTTTTCTCCTAGCTGTGAGTAACTATATCAGAAATCCTACTGAATTAAATGTTTATGTCTACAGTATATACCCTTTGGTCTTACAACTACTTCTAGGTCATTCAAACAAAGTAAAATTAATTGATTGACCTGGTAAATATTTGTAAACTATTATCATGCTTTCTCCATCAAGGTCAAATATTTCTACTCTTCTCACTATGCCTTACATGCCATGATTCTAAGCTCTTCGTACTTTTCATAATCTGTTGCTGATTACGTTATAGTCTGTCAGTTCTTTGAGAAGCACATTAAATAATAATTTATTAGAATTAGAAATAAGCATAGTGAAGAACTCATGTGTCTAAATATAATCCTTCATGCTAAAAAAAATGGACCAAGATAGTGGTACTGCATCCATATTAAGAAAACTAGCAAATGTAAGACCTTGGAGGACAGACAGTAAATCCTTGGGCTCTTTACTGGCTTTTTCTCACCCTGAGTAATAAAGACCATACAATGTTCAAAAAGGTGGCAACCTGGAACCACATGGTCAAGGACTCTGCTACTTGCAAGCTGTGTTCCCTAATGTGAATTATATAAGTTCTCTGACTTCTATTTCTTCCTCTCTTTAATGGAACAAAGGAATCATCTCATAGGGTTGTTGTGAAATGTAAACAAGTTAATACTGGTAAAACAGAATAGCTCCTGGTCCATAGGAAGAGCTCAAAATGTGCTGTTTTCACCACTGTCTAAGCATCCTTGCCATTACATCTCCCGACACTTAAGGCATCTCATCAACACACTCCATTTCTGTAATGAGGCCTGGGTAATCTGGACTATACACAGTGATTACATAAGCCACCCAGACAGTTGCTTTCAATAACTATGTCAGAAGAAATGAAAGCACCAATATACCACAGTCATCCTAGACAACAAGGCTTCAGTTTAGACTTATCCCTTTTCTTTATTAATTCCTATTTGGAAAGAAATGTTTCCAAGCACATAGATTGCCCTAAAACAACCTGATACACAAATAGCTGAGCTCATAAAACAAATACATTAGGTGCTGAATAACCAATATGGTCATCCCTTGGTATTGCTGGGAAGGAGCTCTAAGACCCACCCCTCTACAAATACCCAATTCTGTAGACATGGAAGTCTTGTATATAAATTGGTAAAGGATTTGACATGACCTGTGTACCTCCTCCAGCATATTATATGAATATATATATGAATATATTATATGAATATATGAATATACACATTCAGTACAAATGCATTTTTCTCTGAATATTTTTGAATTACTGTTGGTTGGAGTATAGAGGATACAGAGGGAGCACTGTACATAAAGCTTCCAGTCAGAGTTGCTGCAGCTAGTGGTTCCAACAAAGGCACATCTCGGAACCTATCTCCAGGTGACTCTGGATTAACAGGCAAAGGAAAGGTAAAAGAGTAGAGAGTTCATAGATAACCCAATATCACAATTAAAAAAAAAAAAAAAGACTCCACTCTCACATATCCAGTGATGAATGAAGTGTTTTACAGACTAGTTATGAAAGGCCCCACAGGGAATGGGAATATATTTACCTTCTCCCTTTACCCAACACAGGATCCTAGCAACAGTGTGACAGTCCTATACTAATTATCCTGGGTTTCAACTGTACTATAACTATAGTTAATATGTAAAATGGTTAAGTCAACAAAACAATGAAGAGGCAAGTATCTTCTTGTTGAAAAAAAGAAAAGCACATAGAGAGTTAATTTTTAATTCATTTTCCACCTTTACTTGTCAAAGCAACTAGGCAATGATTGGGTAGTTTTCAATCTGACAGTCATATATCATTGCTTTAAGAATCCCAAATATTTAAGACTTTTTTCTTGCTTTTCAACAAAATTACTACTCTGAAGAAACAACATATTGAAATGTATAAATTCAGTTAGAGGCATGAAAGATGTAGATTAATTTTTTTTTTGTCATTTAGTTCTAATTGAAAGTGTTTCAAGGCACTTCTAAAGTAAATGCTTCTTATTGGTTATGCACAGTATAACAAGATTCTCCTTTCTTACAGTCTTTCTAAAAATAAGCCTTTTCCCCATCCTCCACATAAGCAAGACACTAGCAACTAAAGTTAACATGTCTTTCAGAATTTGTTTTTCCTCAAGTTTTTATTTTTAAGGTGTTTGTACAAAAACTTGAAAAAAAAAAACCTGTAAAGAATTGCTGGGCACAGAAGCACATGCCTGTAATCCCAGTAACTCGGGTGACTGAGGCAGGAGGATCTCAAGCCCAGGTAACTTAGCCAGATCCTGTCACAAAAATTAAAAATGGGCACAAATGTAGCTCAGTTGATAGAATGGCCCTGGATTCAATCCCCATTACCACAAACAGAGAAGGGGAAAAAAATAAGGGAAGAAAACAATATTCATCACCCCTACACCTAGATTCAACTATTCAACAATTAATATCTCGCCATATTTGTATGTGTGCATGTGCTCTCTTTCTCTCTCAATGAGTCATTTAAGATAAATAGCTGACTTAATAATTTCATCATTCCTGAAAACTTCAGTATATAAATTGGTAAAGGTAAGTTAACAATTTCCTAGTGGTGTGTATAGATTGATGTGTGTGTATCCATTACACTTTCAAACATTCCCAGGTGGCCCTAAAATGTGTTTAGGACTGTATCTTCTTCTTTTTTTTCCCCCAAATCTCTTATCAATTTGTCATGAATTTGTGTTGTCCTGAAAAAATGTCACATGCTCACTAAACATGCAGGGTCCACAAAGGAGGCCGATCAATCCATGGAGGGGCATGCTGTGGCCAAGAAAACAACTTCCTGTTTCTATAGCTTTGAACTTGAATTTTTCTTTTAAAAGTAAACAAATTCTGTGCTTTACTGTCTGGTCTACAGAAGCATTTATGATGTCTACTGAGATGTTTCTATAATTGAAGCAGCAAAAAACTGAGCCAAAGAACATCAGTATTGCCTCAGAAGTTCTCCTTGTCTTGTATTTTCCACAAATCTTTAGTTCTGAGGAAATGCTGCCCCCTCATTCTACGTGAGTAAGCACATCTTAGTAAAAGCTCATGGGCAATGCTGTGAGAATCCTCAGAAGCCCATTTCTGGCCTTGTAACAGATATTTATATTTTATTCTAATGTTGATGTTCAGAAGTTAGGAGGGGGATAACTATGGTAAAAGCAGTGGTGGTGCTGGTGGTGGTAGAGATGATAATGGTGAGGTCACGGTAATGGTGGATGTGGTAGTTCCAACTTCAGGCCCTTGCTCTAAAACAAATATACATGCAGGAATATCAACCATAATTACATTTGATCAGGAATCCTCCAGTACAGATTTTAGATAAGAGCAAACCGTCACTGATACCCAAGGAGTTTTCTTCCACCTGTAATTTTATAAGCATTGAAAGCTTTTCTTTCTTAGAGTATGGAGAATAATAAGTATTTTAACAATTGTGTCATCACATATCTACTAACATCTCATTTCAGTTGGGATTATGAACAGAGCAGGTTACCAGACTATAATAACCAACCAAGATGAAAGTTTTTCAGAGAATCTCTGCTAATAACTGGCAATGCCTTGTATCCAAGAGCTTAGCTTCATTATTTGAGACACCCATTTAGACCCATGACATATTATTGCACCTATAATCATTTTACAAAAGTTTTTGTTTTTTGTCTGACCAATTACTGAATAGCCTCTGTATTCACCTCTTTAAGGTCTGCTTGATAAGATGTTCTAGAGAGTACAAAGTAATATTCATTGTAGGTCCCTGTGAAATACAATGCACACCTGTATGTCTGGCATCAGCATCTCCAGACATGTAGGAGTTCTAAAAGTCAAAGCTACTCATTGCTTAACTTCTACCTTGGGCATAAATGACTATCACTTGCTCATCAGCTTCTATTGACCTTAGTTGTGCAGTGAATAAATAAGTTTCACATGATTTCACCAATTATTTACATTGCTGAAATATTATAAACCATCTTAAAATTAGTTTCATGATCCAAATAGTTTCACTCATCATCAGATGAGTGTGCACATTTAAAACCAGGTATTGTGGATATCTAGAAATTATTTTAGAATCATCCTGAGTTCAAATGCAATAAAACTATGTTGCTGGAACTTCTTATATCAACCTAGTATGTATTTAACTATAATTATGGAAAGAAGAAATTGCATAAACACCCAATGAATCCCAGGAGAGATTCTGGGAGAAAGCAAAACATCTATCTTGAGAAGGTCCATCACAGGCAAGTTTGAAACATGTTCAAAAACATGACAAATCTAATCTTTAAGTATTTTTATTAAAAACAGTCCTAACATACATACATAGTTTATACAACAAAATAAAACCTTCATGTGAATAATTTTAGCAACTCTGGCTAACAATTATTATCAACTGTCTCTCAAAAAATTTAAAATAGATTTGCCTTAGAGATGAGAAAGGTATCTATACGTTTTGGTCTTTGAGTTCCCCTCAGTGGAATCTGAGGGACTCACCTGCAGAAAAGAGGTATGTTATTTCTGAATGTACAACTGATTCTCTTCTTCGATTGGCTAATACCAGAAGGTTTACAAATACAAAGTCAAACATACAGAAAAATATGGTTTTGGTTAGAGAAATTGGCTTGATTCAGTCATACAAATGTAAGTTTAAAAAACAAAGAATATTTTAAGAAGACCGCATACCTGCTCTTTGGATGGCACAAGAAGTTCTTCAATCATCATGCTGTCCCGTGCATAGGAGCTTCTGTTCAAGGTGTAAGACCTATCCGAACTGAAGGAGCGGAGGCTGTTGTATTTACAGTTAACCATTCAACAGTGGTAGATGATGATGAGATGAATAAAAGAAAATTAATGCATGCAACTTTAGGAACAAGCAAGATGGCTAAAAATACCGACAAATGCTTTCCTTGAAAGGACATCATCAAAAATAAAACTATGTTTGAGTCAATGTCTTTACCATACACAAACTCACGATCAGGTTTTGTTTAAAATTAGGCCAATTGGTATTAACTCTGTGAGAAGATGAAATGCATGAAAACTTTGGATGTTTCACCATGCAGCTGAACCAACAGAACACTTAGAAGAACCTCTGGGTAATTGACAGTTGTTTTTTTTTTTTTTTTTAGGATTAGACTGCATTTTAGAGTTTCCTGTCTTTCTGGTTCATGTCTGCTTACTTTGCGCTATTGACTGGAATTATGTCTGCTGTGAATGCATCTATTTATAAGTCTTTGGGAACCATATATGGGAGAGCTCTGGTTTGTAGTTGCTACTCATGGAAAACATCAAGAAGGAAGAGTGTTATTAACATACCTGTCTGACATCTTTATCATCTTTCTAGCCTTTAGGAAACACTTAATTTCCTTGCATGATTAGTCTATCCTTCCTGCAAATACTTTTTTTTCCCCCCTTGGTTCGACTCTTTTTTTCCTCATTCCTTTTATTGCTCTCCTTTCAAATCTTTCTCAAGCCCTCCATGTAATCTTTGAACTTCTCAGAGTGCAGCTCCCTCTAATGCCCTGAAGTACCACTCACCACACTGATCTGTAAAGTAAGGCACTGGAGGAGCACAGCTGTCTTGTCATGTTGATGACTTTGCATATATCCACATAAATCATGCCAAGATTGAGATTACAATTAATCTGGGTCTTGGATTAATGCCTTGTGATCCTTCAGGAACAGAGAGGATGGGGATTTAAGAGGAACTGAGGTCATCTCCTACTTACCTCCCTGTCTTACCTGGCAGGCTGTAATAAGACAGTTTTTCATTACCTCACCTTTCTAATGAGGCATGAGGCTTCCTGTCTTGTCCTTCTTAGAATAGCATTGCAGAATACAAAACTGCTTAGCTGAAGTCTAGAACTGTCTCTTTAGCAATGGGGTATCCCCAAACTAGACATCTAGCCCCCTTGGTTTTGGTGCCCTTATCCATATAGAGACAAAACTATGGGAAAATGTCTTCTTTTCACTACCTGTATAATTAATAAACTGTCAATCTAAATATTGTTTATTGTATCTTTACCAGCTGAATCAGCCAAACATTGGCTCTGTCCTTGCCTTGTGTATGACAGGGGAAAGAGCAAATAAGAGGTAAATAAGGAATGATTTCTCGCTTTGCATGAAATGATTTCTTTTCCTCACTGCCTACTATTCTAAAGATTATCTGAAACAGAGACCTCTGAGATATTATAGGCATTGTTCTACGTGCCTACACAAATGGCTAGGTATACATTCTAGGATTAGAGCCTTAGTGGTGATGAGAATCTCAGACTGATCCCCTATTCAAAAATATCATTGTTCCACAGTCATTATTTAGTGTATTCAGCAAATATGCACTGAATAAGCATTATCCCTCAGAGGAGCAGTTGTCCAGTAAACCACATGACTCTAACCACTTGGACGGCCAGGCCCTCTGTGCCCAGTCATATCATGTCACCCATAGCTCTTCCTTTCCTTTGTTTCAGTTGCAACTCTTTCTTTCTGTTACTCCTGTCTCCAGTCTCTTAACTTCTTTCAAATACGGAAGAAGCTTCGTAAAAGTAGGAATTATTCCTAACTCAACAATGTCCAATTGAATTTTGTGTTATGCTGGAGATGTGCTAAATCTGTGTGGTCTAGTATCATTGGCCATTGGTCACATGTGGCTATTGAGCACATAATTGGCTAGTATGGCTGAAAATGGATTTTTAACTAATCTGAATTTAAACAGCCACATGAGGCTAGTGGCTGCATTATTAGTGCACCTTTTATGTACTCATGGTAATATTCCATCTTGCTCACTGATATGATTTAGAAGCACTAGAAGCTGTGCTCTCTGCATTGGACACTCTTTCTTCAAATTATAATTTCCACTGCATGACATATTAACAATGGTGGCACCTGAAACAGTTTTATTATATAATGTGTACAAATACTAAAAGTTTTAAAAGAGATCACAAATTCATTTTAATTCCAGTTTTTAAATATATCTAAGATTTGTTGATAGTTTTTCAACATTCTTTCCTCCATTTAGTTTATTATATGAGTGGCAACTGCAGAACAGAGCACAGAACTGGGAACAGGAAGTCCTAAAAGTAGTCTCCATTCAACAGGACATCTAAAGTTCTGATTCCTGATCATTCCTGACCAACTTACATTAGACAGATGGAACCCATTAAATCCATGAAGCTTCACTCTGAATCCTTAATACAATGAAGTAATTTGGGGTATTAAAATTATTGATTATTTCTTAGGGGTCTGGAAAGCATTAGTTTTAAACTAAGGTTGACAATATTATTTGTAGCCATCCCTAAGTGTTAAATATGGGAAGTGTTAGAAAAACATGCCTTGGAATTCTAAAATTATACTAGTATATCTAGCACAACTCAAATAAAACAGCAACCAGCAAACAAACAGCTTTTCAAATCAAGACTTTTTCTTTAAATTTAGCGAAACTCTTTCAGTTACTTCATGCACTACACAAAATTTGTTAAGGGAGAAAAATTCCTTAAGTATTCGGTCGGTCACTTATTTCTTTGTATGCACTTACTTTCTTGCTAATTTTCTCAGAGTCACAAAACTGATTGTCTAAAGCTGAGCAGAAAAAAAAAAGGGGGGCACATCGCAGCACATCGCAGCACAACACAGCACAACATTGAAGAAAATAAAAATGAGAAAATGAGCCGGGGAGGGCAGAGAAACACCATAAAAGCGCCATGTCATCTTACCTTATCTTGGGACTATTTTAAAAGTATTTTTAGAAAAAAAAAAAGGAGAAATAGAATGCAAAAAATCAGACAGGGGAAAAAAGAAAAAAATGTTATGGTTGAACGAGTTACACATTTAATGTATTCCTTTTAAAATGTTACACTCAGAATACTTTGCTTAATTATACTTAACGTTCTTTAAAAAATATTTGCCTCTGAGCATAACATGAGTTGCCAATGTCAAAAATAAAAATGACTTACATATAATAGCAACGAATAATGGTGCAATCAAAATTAGAAGTGGAAAGGCCTGGAATTACCTTCAGAAAAAAATTATAGGAGACAATATTCTGGTTTCATATTTCACTGGATGTCAGTTGCTATAACTTTCTACATACTAGTGATTGATTCACAAAATGTGAGGAAGAGAAGGCTCCTAATTATTGCATTATAAAAGCTACAGAACAAGATACAAAGAATCGTGAGATCCTTTATGATTCTGCATATTTTTCAACTGTAACTTGTTGCTCTCTGTGATTATCTAAAATAGTGTATATTTTTAAAGCTGCTTTTCTTCTTGTTAATGACACCTGTTACAACTGAGTTTAAGGCCTTTTAAATATATATTTACAGAGACAAAGTTCTACTAAGTTATATGAGTTCAAAATTCTATTTTAAAAAGACTAGCTCGAAGAAAATCAATTCAATATCTGCACTGGCCACACCAACCACACTGAGAATAAACTCCAAGGTTTACTTTGTGGGAAGTGCCATTTACTATTAGACAATGAAACTTTTTACAACAGATTCTTAAACTATAGGAAAATGTCCTTAGGGCTCTGGCTTAGAAGGTTTAATTATTAGCTTTAAAATAACTTGACTGTCAGCAAACAGGCTGTTAATCCACACCAGGGGAAAAGAAGTCTCCAAATTCGGGACAAGGTCCTGTTTCTTTCAAATAGTGTAAGAAAAGTTTGAGTCAAGGTTTTCCACATACAAAAGTTTTACGCTTCAGTTGTAAGAACTGAATTTACCACTATTCCTGTCTGTGACTTCTGGTAAGTCATTGCTATACTAACAAGTCCCTTTACAAACAAACTAATGAAATAGTTTGGAAGAGATCGTCTATACTTGATAATTTCGATAAATATACTTTTTTTCAAGGATGCTGTCTTTGAAGTCTCAATCATAAATTGATTCTTGTAGTCACAAAGAAGTATAAACAACCTATACACATATTTCTTGCTTATTTGCAATTAAGATTTTATTTCAATATGGAATAAAATTTAATTTTGAAACATTTGACCTGGATTGGTTCTCTTGTATCAGTGAGCTCATTTGTTACTATGCTTGAAGCATGACTACAAAACGTGGGAACGGATGAACAAACAATTAACATGTCCAATCACATGAAATTAAGGACTGAGAAAAAACAAAGGAAAACAGCAGAGCATGTGTATTTGAGAACATTTCACCAAGTTCACACCCTCATCCAAAGAGTACATTCTGGGATAATGTGGAAAATGAAAATGATGTGGGTTTATGGCAAATCATGGTTGTTTTAACTTAACTATGAAAAACAGCAACAATCAAGTACCTGGCAGAACGGGCTCCAAGACTAAAGCCCATGTAACCCTCTGCAGGCAGGGAATCATCACCCAATTCCTTAAGGTCCTGGGGCCCAAGATATTTGTCTGTGTCCCCTGTCATCGCATCTTCACCTGCAGATGTACAGAGCAAAACAAAATCAGAAGGCTCCCTTTTGAGTATATATCAGCTGTAGGAAAAAAAAAAAAAAAAAACCCACATCTTATCTCATTTCCATCTTCCCCTAGCCACTGGATAATTTTTGTAACTGCCATTTAGGAAGAAGAAAAGCATAGGTAGAGGTTAGTATACAATTTCAAGAGTAAATTTAAGTAATGTATCCATCTCCAAGTGTTAAGTACCAATTTACAAACATTACTCCTAACTCCATCCTCCACCTTTTTGAGCCCCAGCTGCCCAGAAAGGTGGATCTTTTGCGTCAGAATTTTCCTCAGCTCACCCTTGATGAGGGCAGCTTGTTTGAACAGACAAGAATTGGAAAATGAGAGCTATCTCATTACTGCACTTAAAATTTTTGTGGGAAGGGAACAAGCTTTAAAAAAAAAAAAAAAGGTTCTCTCACACACAGGATTTCAGTTTGGGGCTTATGTAACTAGCAAGTTATTTATGTGTGCTATAACTGCTCATTTGGGGGACTTTGGAACACATTAATTTTGAACTGTTTCTAAACCTATCAAATTAACAAACAAGCTGTCCCAGGGCTTGAAATCCACTTGGAAAGCAACTCTGTCTTCTAAGGAGATAAAATGGGAGGGGGGGGTATCCCGTAGTTTGAAAGGAGGACCATATAAATTGTTCTTAAAAGAGTTAATCACATAAAATAGTTTTACTAGCTACACATGGCTAACGTGACCTCACACAGAAAACCACATTCCAAGAGTGACAGGGCAGGTTTTTCAATTGTCTTTGCCCTCTGGGATGTTTCCCATCCTTCTCAAAATGTAGCTAAGGCTGTGAAAAAATTCCTTCTACTTACAGGCAAACTCTCTTTCTTTAAGACCCTTTTTCCCTTTCTGGACACAAGCTTGGCTAGCCCAAAGAGATTCCCCAAGTGTGCATGTTGTGTTTTCTCAAAGGTAAGTGATTCATCCGCCACAGCCCTATTTTCCCACTCCATTCAGCACCCTTTACAATTTCCATTCATTTAAATTCAGGAAACCACCAGAGCTCAGCTTTTAAACTACCAATCAGGTCTAAAAATACACTGTCAACTACTGTTTTTGCAAATGTAAAAAACTAAACAGATCAACTTTCTACTGCTATCCAGTACCAAGAGATTATTTTAAGTAACAATTTACAGCTGGGCTAGTTGCATATTCATTGCATCTGAAACAAAACCAGCACATCCCAAGTACAACTTAAAGAAAAAGTTCTTACTCTGTGGTAAAGCCATTTCCACCAAGCTGGGCTGGTCAAATGTTTTCCTGATGTTTCCAGGAATTTCTTAGGCAGTGATTTAGAATCAACCTCCAAACCAGCCCAAGCAAACCAATCCCTGGGTTGGATCCACTCTCTTCACCACGGCTGCCGAGTTCCCCTCAGCATCTCGGTCTCCTCGTAGGCAACTGAGGAATCACACATCTTTTTCCCGCTCCTCAGAGTGCAAAGATTTTCAAAATTGCAGACAGAAAAAAAAAAAAAAATCTGGCGACACTTAATTGAGATTAAGATCCTTTTGATCCCTCCGCAGACATCCTTTTAAAGCGCCTTCTGATTGGATTAAGAACTCTTCTGGCAAGCCTCTAGCAGGACCGAATGGTGACATAAATGCAAGCCCATGAGTTATTTGTATGTAAATATGAGGACTGCTCCGGTGTAGATTTTCCGTAATTTGATACCAGCGCTCAGTGGCTAGCTAACTGGGTAACTGAGACCGCTGGAAACGCTGGGAGAAAGCGCGAGGTGCTGCATTTAATTAGGAGGTGACTCTTCTCAGATATGAATGAGGCAACAGCCAACTCAGGTAGAGAGCAAAAACATTAGAAGAAAACAAAGAAGTTGCCCTGGTGGGGAGTGGCCAGGAGCTCCAGGCAAACTTTCAACTTTGTTCCTAGCTGGGAACACCAGGAGCCTCAGTTATTTATGGTCCCTGTCAGGTGGAAGGAGGGGAGAAAAGGAGAGAGGGAGGGCCTGCCCTTGAGTTGAGATTGTGAAACTGTGGCGCGGAAGCAGCTTTTGCAGAGCTCTCAAAGACGCGCCGAAGAACACACTTTTGCTCACCGTATTTTTTAAAATCAGGAGTTTGAAGAAGAGAGCAAAAGCCAGACGTGCTGGGGAAAGCAGCTGGGTGTTCTGCTCTATTTGTGATGCAAATTCAACTCTTTAATACTAGAGGCTCTTACTGGTTCTCCCTCCTTGAGAGGTCCTGCGAGAGGGAGCCAATCCCTTGGGAGGGTCCTGTTGGCTGGAGAGGTCACTGTCACCCCTTGGTAGGAGGCAGTGCCTAAGAGGTGTGGCTGCCACTTTGCTGTTACTTTGTCTCTTTGCTGGAACTTAAGGCCTCCCTTCTAGGCGGCTCCACCCTGTTTATGCTGACAATGAGGAAAAAATTAGCAGGGTTTCTTCATTCTTCATTTGGGTACACTGGAGAGGCCATTTCAGCCCCTACCCACCTAGCTGGAGAATTAGACTGGAAAGTAAGGGTTTTGAAACTGTCTTGAAGTAAGCTGCCTTTGGCAGAGGTTTATAATAATGTGTGTACTCCCCCTTGGAATGTTACCTAAATGTACAGCAATTTGAATCTGTAGAGCTGATGCGGTGGCAAACAAATTTGGTTTTCCTGGGTAAATGAGTAAATGAACAAATGAATGACTCATAATATTAAAATATGACAGCTGCTGCTTTTATCTGATCAGCCTGATTGTAATCAAATGTAAATATACAGAAATAGAAGGGAAGCCCTTTATAATGTCTGGTACATATTGAAAACCATTCCCAAGCAGAAGAATAATTTCCAATCTCTGTAAAGAGAGAGGGAAGCCACAGTTTAAGAGGAGTCATGTCTGATCATTAATCTGGTTTTTCACATCTAAAAAATAAACCAAACTACTTAGCAAAGCCTTTTTCAATGACTACCATTCATTCAAACCTCCAGAGCTCTTGGCCAGCCTTGACTCTGGTCACCCTGACACACCCACCCTGCCTGCCTGTTATAGCATTATTTCAGTCCCTAGAATTTCTTAAACTCAGACTTTGAACCTTTACACAGGGTGTACTTTCTGGATGAAATCTCTTGCTCTCTCTCTTCTCCAGCTAATTTCTCCAATCTCTGCCTCTTCCTAGCATCCCTCCCATCATTTTAAGTGTGGGTGTGCCTTGTTAGAGTGTACTGCCAGTGAAAACACCTGTTGACTCTCTCCTGTTGCCTGGTGAGATCCTGGAGACTAGAAATCATCTTTTTCCAGGACCAGGCATATTTGAAATACCCTCATAGTTTTGGAATTCATGATGGTTAATAAGAGGTTTGTTTGTTTTATTTTTATTTTGTAAATCTTCAAGTCACAGCAATTTAGCATTCTTTGCAAATTAAATGTAATGACTGGCATACAGTAAAGTTTCAATGAAAGTTGTTTCCATTATTCTTTACCCATCTTTCTTAAATTTCAGAATGGTCAGTATGAAACCAAAAGCAGCCCTGGATGGGGTGACCGTGAGAAACATCAATATATTTGGCCAAACATTAATACAGACAGCCTGATTATAGTAAATAATCATGCACTTTTCATTTTAGAATAGTGAAAATATTTCTTTTAAAAGTATGGAATGGGGCTGGGGTTGTGGCTCAGTGGTGGAGTGCTTGCCTAGCATGTGTGAGATACTGGGTTCGATCCTCAGCACCACATAAAAATAAATAAAGTATTAAAAAATATGGAATGTAAAGATTAATGCAAAGGTATTATTTTAATGTAGTTTTTCACAGCCGGTGCTCTGGGTTCAAATCCAAGTTCCACCACTTATTGACTGGGTGACCTTTGAAATGCCATGTAACTACTCTGAGTCAGAGTTTCAAACTCTACAAAACTGGAATAAGATGGCTGTCCCTACTGTGATTTTCTGGGGAATTAAATAATGCACAAAGATCAGGCCTAATCAATACTGTGACTATTGTTCTATAACACAGCTTTCTCCTGTGCCCAAATATATGAACACATGAATTCATATAATTAGCATTTAAGCTGCTTCTATTTCTATGGGTAAAGGAAAAATCTGACCACAGCAGCAAACTGTCCCTTCACTCAATCAACTAATACAACGCCTGTCTCATCATAGGTATTCAAAAATACTTGCTGATAGAATGAATGAATGATTGAACAATGACAATAAAATTGTCAGGCATGGTGGTACACACCTGTAAGCACAGCAACTCGGCAGGCTTGAGGCAGGAGGATTGCAAATTCAAAGCCAGTCTTGGCAACTTAGCAAGACCCTGTCTTAAAAAATTAAAAGGGCTGGGGATATGGCTCAGTGGTAAAACACCCCAGCTTCAATTCCCAGTACCACAAATATTAATAATAATAATTTACTCCTTTCAATAAGCAAAACATTCTATAATTATTGTATACTATGATACTACTATTGCATAGATTAGAAAGGATTGAGATGAATTGTACTGAGTGACTTGTTAACTGTCTCTAATCCACTATATAACCCCAAAATATTTTGGTTAGTGTTGTCTTCTAACAGGTACAAGTGTGTATAAGCCAGCCAATGTAATTCCATAAATGACATTCAATGGAAGAAATGTTTAGTTAAAAATATGTATGTTATCAAGAGCCACATATGTTCACCATCCAAGAAGTATCTAGGTAGGTTTCTGTTTCCTAGATATGTTTGGGGCAGTGGAATAATAGTTGTGTTACAGGTTAAGTCTGACTACCTTTTGACAAAGAGGGTATGGGTAGCCTTTAAAGATGTCCTTCTACACCTACCTGCAATTACCCATGTTTGCTTCTTCCCATGTCCTTGCATATAGGCCTTACTTGAATCTGGGGTGGCTAGAGTTTTGAACAATAAAATTCAGGGAAAATTATTTCTTATGACCTTACAGGTCCTCTCTGAATCTTAGAACACTTGTCCGATGGAAGCCAGCTCAATGAAAGAAGTCTGATTACCA